TTCAGCGTGCTATATCGTCTGGACGAATGGGTAATCCAGGTAAGCCAGGAGTTAAATGGTTCAATAGATTCTTAAAAGATTATGATTTAATTCCTAAATACTTACGAAAAATGGGTGCCGTTTATGGTGTGGTAGTACATGAGGCTAAGAATATGGCCCATGCTTATACCATTGCTGGAAAATGTCTACGTCACAACCCCGACAACCATACTTCTCCAGTACAGAATTATGTTGTAGTGAATTATCGCAGAAAAAATCAATCTCCAGAGCAAGCAAGACTATTCCGGATCTATGATAAAGACTAACTACACTTCTTTGCTTTCACCATATTTATAGCAAAATCTTCATCATTAGACGATTCAGAGTCAGACCCAGATGAAGACGAAGATGAAGTTGCAGTATCACTAAAAATTATCTTTTTTTTAGCCTTACATGGTGTACGATTTCTCCGAGAAATATTGGGGTTTGTTATCGCGTTTATAATATCTTGCTGAATTTCGGGTTTCACTATATCTAATAATTGACGAAAAGAGATCCAGATTTTTTTACCTGATACTTGCTTAACAATATCAGATACCACTTTATCGGTAATGTTGAGTAAACTTTTATCTTTTTCGAAACCCAATTTTTTCGCAATCTCATAAGTGATAATTGGACATTCTGAACCCGAGTCACAAACTACTTCTGTATCCTTACCATTGATCAATATTGATAATTTTTTCACTGATTCTATTAGCGATACGGTTATATTATCATTCTCTTGTAAATTCTGATGAGCCGGTCCAATATTGCTATTAGCTTCAGTCATTGTAAATGCGAAATTATTATTTATTAATACAAATTTAAAAATGTAGAATTAAATATATGTTATAATAAAACATCACGATGAGAATTTCATCTTGCAAAATTAACAAAGTACCAGTAACAGTTATACTAGAATCCGGTGCCAATTGTAATATTATAGGTAAGGAAGTAGTAAATGGTATAGGCTTGAAAATCGATGACATCTGCGATGCAGAAATATATAATCCCACTAGCAAGGTCGATGTGTTGGGAATAATTCGTGAAATAGAGATTTCGATCCTGTCTCAAGATCGTAAATGGGAGCAAGTAGTAGTGACTGATGTTTTCG